TATTTTTAAATTAATTTTTTGTTTATTAAATAAATAATAAGGGGGAGGTTGTTGAAAATAATATTTTGTTGATTTTTGTTGTGGAGAATTGAATTTATTGTTGTTGTAATTGTTGTTTTTAATGGACATTTTATTGCCCTTTTTTATTGTTTTTGGTAAATTCTCTATTATTTTTATTTTATTTTTAATAGAAAACAGTCAATTGGAAGGATATAATGAGGACTAAAACATTTTTTGGATTATCCAACTATTGAGTAGTTTGAAAATAGGAAGCTTTGGAATCAGTTCCCAAAATGAAAAAAGCAATTATTATGCTTAATGCTGCCCTTATTAAAGAGATAATCCTCTAATTTTTAATCTAAATTAATTATTAACTCTCACGTATAGTTAACTTTTCAATAGAAATTTTTGTAACACACTAAACATCTCTACTATCCTAAGCCGTTTTTAAATAAAAAAAGCTGTGAAAAAGAAAGTCTAATTTCAAAACACTCTTCCATTATTCAATGAGACTTGGTTAATGACATGAGGATAAATTTTGGTATTTCAAAAATTTAGGAAAGCGATCTAATATTATATGGGGGTCGCTTTAGTATAGCTACACCGAGATCGGAACCCATAATATATACCATTCGATTCGTCTCGACGAGCTGAGTTCAAATATGCAAGAATTTTCTGCGGGAGACGAAAACTCGCAGAGATACAGGCCTCTGAAAATTGAAAAACCATAGGGGGGAGTAAGCTGATTTTTGGGGTCAAAAATTCGAATATGCAAATGATAGCTCATTCGAAAGAGCTCGTCGAGCTGAGTCGAATGACACCAAAATCAACGAAATCCGACTTGATTGAACCGAGATATAGACCCCTAAAAATCGAAGATCCAAAGGGGCGATTTTTGGAATAAAAAATTTTTTATACAAATAATAACTCATTCGAAAGAGCCCGACGAGCTGAGTCAAATGACACCAAAATCACCGTGATTGAACAAGATTAGACAAAGTTATGATACAAAAAAACCTAAACCTATGGGGCGTCGGCGAGGCGCTTGTGCAAAACCCCGCGCTTCGCGCGGGGTTTTGCGGCACGCGCCTCGCGGGGAGTCTACGGGCGCTGGGTCTGGGCTCGTAACATAAACCTATTCCTATCTCCCTTGCTCTGGACGTATTTGGGGCCTCCGTAGCAGCAAAAATCTCCACAGATCCCATAGGTAAGGAGCTAACATAAAAGATCATAACTTTGTCCAATCAAGTCGGATTTCGTTGATTTTGGTGTCATTCGACTCAGCTCGACGAGCTCTTTCGAATAGCTATCATTTGCATATTCGAATTTTTGACCCCAAAAATCAGCTTACTCCCCCCTATGGTTTTTCAATTTTCGGGGGCCTGTATCTCTGCGAGTTTTCGTCTCCCGCAGAAAATTCTTGCATATTTGAACTCAGCTCAGCGAGACGAATCGAATGGTATATACTTTAAGTTTCGATCTCGGTGTAGCTATACTAAAGAACAGCCATTATATGTATAAATACGTACTAAACTTCTGAGTTGATATTTGGATTCTGCTAATTTATTTAAAAATATATACTATAATTCTTGCAATTTTTTGAATACTAAATTTTCTAAAAATATTTTTAAATTACAAAAATTTAATTTAAATATATTTCATTGAAAATATTTCTATTTAATAAATCCAGAAAGAATATAAACGAAAGGAAATCTGTGAAAGGCAAAAAGTGCAAAAGGCCAGATAATAATAGAAGCCCTTTAACGTAAAATACGTTCTTTCCTGCACGGGGATATTTAAAAGGAAAGGAAAGGGAGAGAAGAATGAAAGGAATTAACACCTCAATTCATCTTGGCAATTACTAAAAATAAATATATTTACTGGCTAATAACAAATTTTCTTTTTTTATTAGTTTTTAAAAAGAAAAAAACTGACCGAGAATTATTTTTTGCTTAAAATATTTGCGTGCAGAAAATCCCCCTTTTATTTTTACAGATTTAATAAATAGTAATAAAGTGTACTTTTAATTTTTTATTGGCACTTTTCTCATTTTTTAACGTCTTAGACACCTTCACATAGTAATTTTTTACATTTGAGAGGGTAAAGTAGTCTGTTTATTATGTATTGGACACAAAAATTCTAAGAAATAAAGTAATTAGCGGAGAAAAATTAAAATGTAAATAAAGTGAATAGAGCTGGGACAAAATTTCTATTGTCGGAAAGTTCCTAGAACTTTGGTGCGGCTAAGCTTGAAATGGATTTTTAAATTATTTGAATTCGAAAATTAATTAGATTAGAAAATTTTTGCCCTGCAACGAAAAATATTTTCTGATAAAAATATTAGCTTCCTTAAAGTATTGAAAATTAAGAAGACATATAACTTGAAGCTGTAATAATCTATAGTACTTATTACTTTTGTTTTCCCTTCAAAAGCTTGGTCAAAGAAAAAAAGGGAAGGGCCGTTTTTACTTCTTATTATTGTCCACCCTTTTTAAAATTTTCTTTTTCTCTTTAAAATATTTCCAATCGTCATGACAACTTTGGAGAAAGGAAATATGTATAAATATCAAACCAAGCTCCAAACCCAACGGTCACTCCAAAAAGGTTTGTAAAATTTAAAAATGTTTGGAGAATTGCACAATAGAATGGATAGAGGAGTCTTTTAATCCTTAAAACAATTAAAAGAAAGAAAAGACTTATGTATTTTTATTAAATTTAAAATAAAAATAAAGAGGGAATTTACATGAAATTAAAAATTATTTAAAAAAATATTAAAAATAGGAAATGATTTAAAATAATTTTAAAAAGAATTTGGAAATAAAAATAAATAAAAACAAGATGAGATAAACACTTGAAACAAAATAATCTGCGGACCCGGGGCGTTATTCTAAAAGGAGGGTAGGTGAAACCGGTAAATTTAACCAGTTCTCTTACTCGGGTAACAGAAAACAGAGCATTGTAAAGCCAAGTGCGGACCTTTTGTTAACCGAACAGAACCGACAAACCGAACCAAAAATCTTCGGGTTTTCGGTTGGGTTTTCTACCTAAAAGAAAAACATTTTTTGGCTTCGGCAGGCTAGCGATTTAACTTGGTAACATAAATTTTACTAAGATTTTATTTAGTCATGTTCACTGCCACAACAGTAAAATTTTAACCTAAATTAATTAAATTATAAAAGAATTAACAACAATAATTCAAATCTTTAATAATATCCTCATTAACGTATTAGTTTTCAATTAAACATAATTTTAGAATTTAACAGAAAAAATTAAATTTGCCAAACTATTTTGTATGTATTTCCTTATCTAATTATTTATCAAAAAATATTTTTCAATAAAATAAATTTTTATAAAGCAAAGGGTTTTTCATTTATTTTTATTTTTGTAAAAATTCTTTTATAAATTTAATTTTTAAATCAAATTTACGTATATTATCCACTTATTTGAATCATATTTACATAACATTTATTCTTTTTAGATTAAGAAAAAAAGGAAAGGAAATTATCAAAGAAAAAAAGAAAACAAAAGTTAGGAAAGGATAAAAGAATTTCACAAATAATTTCAATCATTTTATCAACATTTTATTGTAATATTTAGTTTTTTTGTTTGAACATTTCCCATTCATGCACTGTTCCCCATTTATTTTGTACATATCCCATTTATGCAGTCCCCAAGACAACAAAAATTGTCTTTACCATCGCAGGGTTGATTTTTTAGTCGACAATATTTACATTGTTCAGTTATACATCTCATGCCATAACAACATCTATCATCATTTTTATTACACTGCCCTGTTTTGCAAGCTTGTTGAAGACATTGATATCTTGCACGGTTACTATTAGCGGCATAAGTACGTGAACAACTTAAGGTTCCACAACAGCTTCCCTGAAGTACCTTTGCTATACAATTTTCTCCATAAAGTGGAATGCATTTCTCATTTTTAACTTCAAATATTAAAAAAGTAGAGAAGATAAAAAGAAGGCAATAAATATTTATTGAAGACATTATTTTGTATTGAATTGTTAAATTTATCTAAAAATTTTGAATGTTTTAAACGTCTCTTAATTACTCCATGGAATAAAGCTAGAAGCAAAGGCTGTTTCTTAAATTCGATTAATGGTATTAGAAAGTAAAAGTAAATATGCCTAATTTGTATTTAAAATTATTGAAATTTCCCTTAGCAACCTCGGGGATAGGCGTCATAAATGATCCTTCTTAGAAAATTGAGCAAAAATAGAATTTGGATAGTTAGATTAAAATAAAGATGGTGAAGTTTTTAGAAAAAGCTGTGATTAAGAGGCAAATTTGGGCCGAGATCCGAGAATAATCCGAGAATAAGCCAACTCTCAGCTCTGACAACGTTCAGGCAAAGTCTAAGACAAGGTTCAGGAGACCCGGGACTGATTGATCCAAAACCGAGATTGGGAAAAAAGCCAACTTTAGTTTAAGATAAAATACTATGTATTATTTATGAATAAATCAAACAATTATTTATATTCCCAAATTCGCTTTCAGACATAAAATAAGAAGAATAATAAAAACCAACAACAGAACAAATTAAACATAAAAAAAAGAAAATTAACAACATTTTACGCTAATATTTGGCTAAAAAAATAAACAATTTTTATAAATTTGAATATATCCATAAATAAATCTAAAAAGAGTAAAAATTTCATCTCTAAATATTTTTTTAATTAATTCATTATTTTTGGCCCTAATGAATCATGAGGAGGTTTAAAAACAAATATAGAAGATACAAAATAGAAACAAATTTTGTTACTAAAAAGTTATTTTTATTTTTTGTTTAATTATTTAATTCAATTATTCAATATATACATTTTTTTCAATTGCGCCCAGCCCTGATTTGGATACTTCTTATTTTAATACGATGCAGCAAGAGGCAAGAAATTCGAAGTTAGCCCAATCTGTATAAGTCAAACTGGAAAATGTTGTGATCCATTAGGAGTAGGTTTGGGGTTTTTAAATCGGGCCTACGTTTGAGTCATTTTTTCGGGCCTAAATACATTAAAAATATTAGACAAAAATCGAATAATAAATAATGAATAAGAATCCATTTGAGTCAGTGCCGTATCTATTTTGTGGCGTGTATAGGATTTGAAGTGATAGTAATTTGGAGGGTATAAATACTTAGCAACATAAAATTAGGATATCGGCAGTTGCCTGCGGTCATGAATGTGAAAAAAAGCGTGTGTAAAGTTAGAAAGAATTGTATAAGGTATAATGAAAATTTAACTTTAAAAATTTTTTAATAAAAAATAGAAAAACAATAAAATTTACAATTCGTTGATAAAAATGAAAGAAAATTCAAAAATAAATAAAAAATTTTCGTAATTAAAAATTCAAATTACGGTAAAATATCCCAAAAATTTTAATAATTTGTCAATTGTCGTTTAGTAACAACAATCCTCTTTTGTTGCTGTAACGGCTTTCTTCGAGCAGAAGGCTGTCTTTTTGGAATTTTCGTTGTATTTTCTTTGTTCTTCATAGAAATTTTGTTTTGATTATCCCTTAGTTTTTTCTTGTTAATCACTTCAACTTCTTCCCCTTCTTCTTTAATTTTCCCAAAATTTAAATTTTTTCCTTTATTATTTTTTTCATTTTTAATCAAATTATTTCCATTATTATATACGTTGCAATCGCTACTAGAACATTCTGTATCAGTGCATATTTGTGTTGATGGATGTTGAAAAATATTTTTATTTTTTCTGTAAATAATTCTTTCATTAAATTCTTCATTTTCTTCGTTATTTCTAATACTTTGAACCATTTGGGCTGGTGGTTGGGTTATTACTGTGGCATTTGGTAGGCGCAACTGTAAATCACCGTTTGGAGTAGCGTAAAGAGTCATGACATGGGGATTGTAGCCAAAGTCTGAAAATTGAGGGAAATTGTTGATTAATTAGAAGGACATGTTTAAGAATGCATCGGTTTATATAAAAATATTAGAAAATATCGGATGGAGGCTTAAGGATGAAATAAAAATAGGTCCTGTCTTCGTTTGCGGGTTGGAAGACGACATTGTCAACTTAGAGGATCTCCAGCTTGGAGAAAAGGAATTCCCTGGGGAACGGGGGAGGACCTTGTTTGGATCCTCAAATTCTATCTTCAAAACCCCATAAAACTTGTAGAAACAGCAGTCGACTCTTTATTGAGAAATTAAAACCTCATCCTACTTGAAAAATAAATTTTCTAATACAAGGGTGGGATTAGTAAATTAAACAATTCAACAAATTTTCTATTTATTTCTCCCCAAATGTACGTATTTTAGAATTTTTTTAATTAACTAGACCATTATTATTAGCATTTCCATTTGCCCCACTTAATAGTTGTGCAAAAGAAGGGTTGTTGTTATTCGCCCCTCCAACAGCCATTGAATTAAAAGCCCCCACAACAGATTTATTAAAGCGGCAACATATTTTATCCACTAATTGTGTCCAAATATTATTACAGGAAACGAGAATCTGAAAAATAAAATTTTGTGAAAAAAAATCTATTTTCAAAACCATAGTTGGCACAATCAAAGGATGGAAGATTTTAATGATGGTAACAAGTGTATCTACATCTTTGGAGGTTGTAGAGCCTGTAAATTGTGCAAAACTTTGTTGAACTTCAATGCTGTTGCGGATCTGGAAATATTAAAATTATTGAGGAGAAAGAGTAATTAAAATGAAATAAATACACAATATATAAAATTATATTTTTTATTTTATTTGAGGAAAAATAAATTACAGGGAAGCAGGATTTAGAAGAAAATTAATTTTTGGAACGGGAATTCGGCCGAGCTCCCTTAATAAATGATTTAAGATCAGTGAAAGGATTTCTAGTTAAGTATAGGAAGGTTTCAATTTTAATATTTAATTATCATTAATTTTCGATTATGTTATCAGAATTTTTCTTTAAATTTTGACTTGGTGGATATCCGATTTTTTAAAATAAGTAAAAATTAAGAAAATATTGCTTTAATTATTTAAAAAATAATTTTTAAAAATTATTTATTTTCATTTTAAGTCTTATAATAAATAGAGTTGTATCGAAATTTCGATTTCCGATTTTCGAGGTTTTTTCCTGTTGATGTTTGAAATTTTGTGATATTTTCTGATTTCGATATTTTTGGATTTCTTTCGATTTTCGAAGATTTTTTTTGTTTTGAAACATTTTTGATAATAAACAAGATCTGTGTTATTTTATGAGGATTTTTAAAACAATTTGTTGATTAAAAATTTTTTAATTTTAATTTTTGTACATTTACAATTTAAAAACCAATTATTTGTTTACCTGAACAAAAAAATCCAAGCAAATATAAGGTCCCTGAATAACTGCATATTCAAGTACCAACCAAAAGAACAGTCTACTCAATTGCATGTGTTCATCCAAAATTCGATTTTCCAAAATAAAAGCTCCGTATTGTTCTGGTTTTGCTGGAAGTGAACGAACAATTCGTTTTTGTTTAATTATGGATCCAAAACATATGAGGAGAACAAAAATGCAACCCTTTAGAAATATTTTTACAACTTTTTATATAAAGTAGATTTTTCAGAAACAATTGTTAAAAATGCCCCTGAGAGTAAGGATGGCAGTTCCTGGGAAATTTCGATATCCGGAACAGGTACCGATATCTGGACCGAAGATTTCGGATATCTGGATCAGGAACCGGTATCCAAACAAAAAATTTCCGGATATCCGGGGCTTTTTTTGGTCCGGATACCCGGAACAGCCAACCTTACCTGAGGGTACAAATTATTTTTGGTAGTTCTCGAGAAGAAAAAATATTTAGAACAGTTTATAATAGAGGCGTTATAACGGGAGTTTATAAATTTTTTAATTTGAATTATTTAAAATATACCCCATATACAAGCAATTGTGCAAGAGAATATAGCACTGGAGAACCACTGAAATATTTAAAGGTAATAAAAATTTATATGAAATTAGCTAATTCTTTAAAATAAATTCATATTCCCTATCTAGTTCTCTATCATTTAAGCTTTATTTGATCTTATTATCTCTAATTTGGATAAAGTTATGTCATAAATTATGTGCCCAATTTCTTTCTGGTCACCCTGTATAACAAAATGCACAAGCTTCTTATTAATTTCGTTTTCCGTATTTTTAAATCCGTTTCGGCAGGCATTTTGTATACAATAATACCTATTTAGAATTTGTATAGAACCAATTAATATCGTTATTATTTAAAAAAAATTTTCAAGAGAAACCTTCCAATAGCACATAAATATCGGTAGGGAAAGACAGAGACTTGAAAGCCTGGAATCAACAATGGAGTCGCAAAACAGATCGGAATTATCATAAAAAGAATGGCTAAAGATCCAAATATTTTGCGTGTAACTAAATGTCGACGTATCAGAGTTAGAGCTCTCTCCATTGCAATTAGTGTTAGTGTAAGTAGATTTGCAAGGAAAAGGGACTAGAAAAGATTAATTTAGACAAAAATATCGTTTTGATGAACAGCTTGGGGTATGTAAGAATTTTCTTTGGTCCCTTAGAGTGGTTATAAGGTTCACGTATTCTATTTATTTATCTTCATTGAAAACCCTATTAGTTGGATCATCTTTATGATATTTACATAGGTATATGCCCACGAATTCTTTTCCAAATGCAACTACAAATTCTTACATTAACATAAATTTCCAATCATACCAAAAATGCTATAGTATTATGTCAAATAACCAATTTTATAATTTAGATCCCTTTATGTTTTTTATCATTGTTTTTATCTAATTTATCTAATTTATAAACTTTTTCTCTATTTTTAGAAATATTATTAACTAAGATCTATCTTAAAAACTTTTTCCATCTGTTTATATTAATGTTAAACAAATTTTTTTAATTAATCAAAAAATAAGCACCTGTTGCGCAAAAGCATTCACGCGGCAGATTGTTCTACCAAACGTCCAAATACCACCTTTAAATAATTATTTATCAAAACTATATTTAGAATATTTAAATTAATTAATTTAAATTTTAAAATTTCTTTCTAACCATTAGCTACACAAATGAGGGCTACAAATGAAATGAGAGAAACATCCAGTAAATTCAATCTAAAATTTAAAATAATTAAAATAATTATCAATTAAATTTTTTTATAAAAATTTTTTAGACTTACAAAGACAACATACAAAACATTAAATTAAGTAGTGATGATCGTAATTTGTAACTATAAATTATTAAAATTAATTATCAATTTATTTTTCTAATGTCACATGCTAATTATTTATTTTCTATAGTTATTTGATCAGTTTTCTATTTAATCAAGAAGTGTTAAATTAATAATGAGGGTTATAGTACTTCGGGGGGAGGTTAAGGGTGATTTTAATGTATGGAAAACTATATTCTTTATAAAATCATTCTGAAAAATATTTTCAGATTAGAAGGGGAAGATTAAAATATCGTAAAACTTTTATTAACTACCTGGGTAATTATTTTTTTGACTTTGGATGGAGTAATTAATCAAGGGAGGGCAATTATATGAGGATAGAAATTTGAACGCGTTTTAGGGCAATTGGAAGGGCAATTATTATTTCGAACTATTGCTGGAGGGGGTAATTAATAGAAGTGGTGTAACTATTTAATGGAGGGCAATTAATAAAGGTTTTGCTTCTTAAAGAGTTAACTTATAGTAAAGTGAACTTGATATTACAAATAGCCCATCTTTTTTTATTCCTTTAATTAATTTACCATGTCAAAATCGTAACAAAAACAGCCATATTTAATAAAAAGGAAGCTACAACAATAACCCCCATTAAAATAGAAATTGCTGTAGAAAGCCCGGTAGTTGAAATTTTCTCTGGAATGGATACCATATTTGTGTTATAAAAATCAAATTGAATAGGTAAAGCTGTTAATAAATCTAGGCCGGTATTTAAAGTTGAATTTAAAGTATCGTTAAAGTAAATATTCTTGTTTTTGGTAGTTGTTGTTATGTTTTCGTTCATAATCTGGCAAAAAATAATGAGAAGAAAATAAAATTAATGAACGAGAAAATATTAATGTGGTAATACTTTAATAATGGAGAAATGAGAAAAAATAATGAAAGGCACAAAATATACATAGTATGTATTTTAGAAAAAATTGTTTTAAAGGACATGATGTACTATAAATACATAGTATGTATCAGGGGGTGCCGAATATTGTACGACACTTGCGGACCGACTTTTTAGGATATCAGAAGAGTTGGACTACGGTGCCGAAAGTGATTTTAAAAAGCGAAAGGTCTTTGGTCAGGTAATTCAAAAGCCTTGTTAAGTGTTTCAAATCTACATATAACTTTCTTAAATCAATTAATCGGGGATATCAGGGAATTTGTAGGATTAATTAGGATATCAGAAGAGTTGGACAAATATCACGGATTTAAAGGAAAATTATATACACCTACAGAAATTAAATAAATATAAATTAACGTGATAATATTAATGGACACAAAACATAAAATATAATTGTTTCTGGGCTGAGAAGAAAATAATAAAAAATTAATCGGAGAGCTTAGACTGTCAGACTCATTAAATTACTGTTTTAAGTAACAAAAAAAATTAAATTTAAAATTAAATAAATAATTATTTTATTAAATTTATTTTAATTCAAACAAACAATTTAAAAAAATTTTCTTGGCACAGAATGGCACTTGAATAACAAATTTTTTGATGCCTTAATTATTTTTAAATGAGGAATTAAACACGCTATTCGTTTCTATAGTGAAGTGTGTATTTTAAATAAAAATAAATAATGAAATAAACAAAAAGAAATATTTAAAATAATAAATAAATAGTTAAAGAAATTTTAATTTAAATTTCTTCTAATAATTTTAAAACAATAGAATTATTGACGAAAACAAAAAATCTAAAGATAGGCTCTCTCCTATTTCCAATTTTCGCCTTTCAAATTCGGCCGGGCCCTTTTCTACATTAATTTTTAAGTCTCTGGGAACACATATTTTTGGGTAATAAACGATGTATTTATTTTTTGATATTAAATTTTAAATAAAATAAATGGTAATTATCTCTATTAAATTTAATATGTTAGCATATTTAAAATTTTTTGTTGGCTTCTTTGATGATTTTTTGATTTTTAATGATTTAGAGAATATTTAAAAATGAGAGAAATTTTTTTAATGAATAAAAAATTTTAAATTAAATCTTAAAATTTATGTACCGAAAAGTGTTGAGGTAAATTATTAAATTTATTCACTCTTTTAATTTATAATTTAATCTACGTAATTTAAATTAAAATTAATTTAAATAGACACAAATAAAATATAAAATACAAATAAAATATATTTAAAATATGTCAAAAGTTTATTTGAGGTAAATTGAAATTTATGTGAAATTAATTTTCTTTTAAAAGATCTGTTCCTTTCAATAAGAAAACCTTTAAAAGAAAAAAATTATTTTAAGGTAGAAAAAGTAAAATTTTTAAAATTTGTCCCTAACAATGACTTTCTGCCATTATTTTAGTTTTACATTTTTATTGGTCACCGTGGTAACGAAAAGGAAAAAAGTTTTTCTAATTATTGTGGATATAATGCTTAATTTATGACACAAAATAAAAATTTTAGAAAAAAAGAATAAAATATTTAGATGTTCAGGGAAAGGTTATTTCAAATAAATTATAATTAAATTTGGAAATTAGTTAAGGATATTTTCAAATATTTTTTGAGTGAAATTAAAAATTTGAGTTTGAGACACGACAAAAATTTTTAAGTTAAGAAAACGAAGTTTTTGTGGAAATTAAAGCGTTGAGAAACAAGCAGAAAAAAATATTTTTAGCTCTCAATCAGTTTGAAATTAAAAGGAAGATTAATTATTTCCTTATTTTTTCACATTTTCCTTTCATATCTACACTCAAATCATAGTTAAGCTTAAAATAAAAAGTCTATTTATCTTAAATTAAGCCATTTAAACATTGAACGATTATCTTCGATTTGCACTTTTTAGTGGTAATAAAAATGAAATTTAAATTAGGCCAGTTTTATCGCTCGTTTGGATAAGACAGTCAAATAAAGTTAAATTTGGGAAGAAACAAGGAGAATACAAAATCTAAATTTACAATTTTTTATATAGGCAAAAATGAAATAAAACATTTTATCAAATAAACATCCGGGATTCTGTTTACAGAAAAATCGCAGTTTCGATTGAATATATGTAAAACAAATCATCAAAAAAGGTATCAAAAATATATTAGGTCGGGTCATAATTAGTGTCGCTTTTTTTCGGTTAAATTTTTAGGGGTGTTATTTTGTAAATATTCTTTTTTCTTATTAACTAATTTAAAGATCAGAATCTACTCTTTATTTTGATACCACGTTTAGATATATATGGGTGATATTCATAAAGTTATGATTTTTTGAACTTCACTACCTCGTAGTGAAATTCTCAAGCATTTGCACCATAAATTTTAAATTACCAAAAATGAAACACAAGAAACAAAAAATCATAATAATCTAGTAAATGGGATCGTTTCTATCCTAAACAGCAAAGAATAGGGTTCGGGCTATACTAGGAAGCCCGTATACCTCTCTGAAGCAAACATGGTTGAAGGAGAAGGCTGTCATTAAACATAACGGTCCTGCTCGACCGGTTTAGATGAAATCACGATATTTCTTCTTCTTAATTGTCGAGGGATATCTGCTCTATACATACAGAACGCTTGACAGAAAAAACGCGGTCTGCGCTTAAGGAAGGCAAATCAAATAACGCGCGTACTCACATTAAACAATTGAAACAAACGACACGACATCCCCCCAAAAAACGTTTTCTTATAACTCAGCGTAAAATCCTCCGATCAGGATGATCTAAACGGTTTTTTAAATAACATATAGGGCTTATACTGAATCCGAAATATAAAGTCTGTAAATCTTGTCAAACCCCGGAATTCGAATTTCGACTTTTTCGAAAATATAGACCTTTCTTAATAAAAATTCGAAATTGTGCTCGTCGGATAGAGATTTTGAAGGGCTTTCAAATGATATATCACACTAAAAATTATGATCACATATACTTGAGAAATTTTGATTTTCGTTGATTTCTGGAATTTTGATATTTTCGATCAGAACTCCCTGAATACCTAACCAAAAATTCTCAAATGTTGGTATCCTTTAGAACATAGTCTAACAGATGATTCGTAATAAAAATAAAAAAATTTCTCTGAAAGGTTAATTTTAAAAATCAAAAAAAACCCAAATTAAAAAAGCGACACTAATTATGACCCGACCTAATATATTTATCTATGAGATTATTCTTTCACATTTTTATTCATCTTTATATATTTTAGGAACTCCAACGCCGTTTGCATCAACGACAGTATCAGGAACCGCAACTCCAATTTTGAAACTAGAAGCTTCTCCCGGCTCGATTTGTGTATCCATAACAGTGTCGACATCATTGAAATCTTGGTGATATTGAGTTTCGACGACTGTAGAAGCATCATTAAAATGTTTTTCTTCTTTTTGTTCTTCATCTTCAACAGCAGAAGGAGGGGGCATTTCAACACCAACATTGGAGTCTTTTAAAGAATTTTTTGTAGTTGATTGAGTTGAACGTAGATAACTGCCTTGACTTTCATCTTGCATAATTTGTTTGTTTTCTTCTTCTTTTTTATCCTCTTTCCGAAACAAAATACAAATCAGAAAACAAACAATGCTTGCAAAAATTCTGAAAAATTATTACAGTAGACAAGGTAAATGTTATCCAAGAATACTCACAAAACTACAACGCCACAAATAATCAAAACAATGGTAGTTGTGGACATTCCTGAAGGCTTGGTAGAGGTTGTAATCCTTGTAATCTCCACATCATCATCAGTAGTAGTGTCTTCCTTATCAGTTTTGTCAATATTTTGGGTTGTAGAAAATTCCAAAGTTTTGCTCTCAAGTATTGAACTTCCAAGTGTTGAACTCTCAATAACATCCGGAACAAGAATTTTGAAGTGTTCTTTGTCCTAAAAATATTTTTATTTTATAAGAAAGGAGGAAACATGTCCTTACAAATCGAATAAACATTTTGTCACATTTCAACAATGTTGCCTCTTTATTACATCCTGGGTTTGTCCCATTTATTTTACAACTTGCCCAAGAATTCTGAATACTTTGTCGCATTGCTTTTATTGGCATAATATGGAAAGTGAAGAGATGGGTGAAGTTTTGATTGTTGTTGATATAATTATTGTCAAAAATCTTCCATTCTTCAGCCCTGCCAAGTTTTTCCTTCTTATAGCACTTTGTTGGTAAATTAAAGAAATTTTCTTCTTCGGTGCCTGAAGCATACCGGAATTCCTGCCCTCTAATCATAAGCTTGAATGACGCTTCCTGCATATGAGGATTATTAATTTGCATGAACTTTTGCTTGTTTTCGTCACCAACTACTTTTAAATTAGATTTAGAAAAATTTTTAGAAATTTCGCTACCTAGCTGAATGAAGTAACTAGGAACTCTCGATCCCCCAGACAATGTGTCCATCCACCCAATAGAGTAGAAGGCTGTTGTATGCCAACAATCATTTTTCCTTTTGCATATTTTTGCACCCTCTTCACTGCTACAATCACTGGTATTGTTCCTTGTTTTCGGTCCCTCTTTCAGTTCTTCGAATTCATTTCCTTTATTGCTGTAGGAAAACGATATGCTAAATTAAAAAAATTTAATTTTGTAAATCAAAATTTATTTACAAATTATCTGGGACTAGCTTGTCTTTCGTGACACAATCGGATAGATTGCCAGAATGTGAGATACCAAATTCCAATAGGATTTGACCTTCATTCGTTGTAACCAAATCAACAGAGCAGCCAAACTCAGTCGTGCTGGAATTTTTGGAGTACGAAAGAATGCTGTTAAATGAGGGGATTTAAATAAATTAATGTAAAAATATTTACATATTTCCATCGTTGTCCAAAGTGACATCACAAGCGCCCTCCAGCTTCCTGTATTGTTCAAGATCCGTGTCGTTTTCGGCAATCCTCGTATTGTTCTTGAGCTCAATAATTGTCTCGTTAACCAACACATGCTTGCCAAGTCCGACTTCTTCACATTGAACAACAAATCCGAAAACTAGAAGAATTGAAATGCACCGAATGATCGAAAAGGCAGAGACCATTTGAAGTGTATTTAGTATGAAAACTCGAATCGCGACTGAATTGACGTTGATTGAGAAAAGAACGTTGATCTATGTAGCAATTGGAGAATGATTTGGTAGAATATTTAGCTTTTATAGTATGTTCATAGTGTTCATATAAGAATTGAATATTGAAAATTCGCATTCTTAGACACATACAAAATTTACGTTAAAACCTAGAAAGATTTTTACACTACCGTAATTTATTGCATTCATTCTAATTATTAATTTGAAGCAGAACATATGCTAATTATTTTGTAACTGATTTGATCCATAAGCAAATAAAGTCAAAATGAGGAAGAAAAGAGAGATGACTGAATTCGAAATTTCAAAATTTATTTACTCTAGCTTAAATAAAATACAACAAATTAACAACAATACATATCATAAAAAAATAACAACAACAAAATATAGCTATTATATTATTCTTCCAGTTCTTTATTACCCTTCATTAACGCTATCAGTAATTTCAACGTCAGATTGTGTATTATGAATAAGCGGATCTTCTTTAACAACGGGGTCCTCATGAACAGTATTTTTGCTACTCAAAGCATCAGGGACAGTCTTGTCAGAAGTAAAAGAAAAATCATTGTCGTGCTTTACTTCAATACAAGTTTTTGTGTCAGGAAAAGTATCAGGAACTCCAACACAAGTTTTGGTACCAACAGTAGCATCAGGAAGTGCAATACAAGTTTTGAGGTTAGAAGCTTCTTCCGGTTCCATTTGTGTAGCCACAACAGAGTTAACATCGTTAAAGTCTTGATATTGAGTTTCGACGACTGTAGAAGCATCATTAAAATGTTTTTCTTCTCCCTTCTGTTCTTTTTCAGATACATGGGAAGCAGAGCTGCACGAAAATTTTTCGTTTCGTTTCGTGTTTCGTAGATTTTCGTGGATTTTTTGATGGTTTTCGTTTCGTTTCGCGTTTCGTTAAAAAATAATTTTTTTCGTTTCTTTCGTTTCGTATTTCTTTAAAAATATATTTTCGTTTCATTTTCGTTTCGTAACATGCCATTTTTAGACGAAAATGACGAAAAAATATTCAATATTTTTAGACAATTTTTTTACTATTTTGTCGTATTTTTAAGTTAAAAATTGTAAATTTTTCTCCCGGGGACTGAAAATTTAAAAAATTTTTGCCTTCGGCGCTGAAAAAGAAGGAATCTGCCTTCTTGGCCTTCCAAAATTCTCAAAATTTCTGACTGCGACGCTGAAAAAGGAAGAACTTTGGCTTCTAGGTAACAAGTAACATCGATTGTTACTTCTAAGTACAATCGATCTAGGCATCTCAAACTCAAAATTTTCTCCTGAGGCGCTGAAAAATGGATGAAAAGCGAGGCATTAGCAAAGGTATCTTAGGGTATAGTGGGATCTTATCAAGGCTGGTCTCCCTCGTATGTATATACCTCTGTTCAGTCCCATTGTTTTAATGAGATCATGAGGGATATAGGGGAAATCGAGGGTATATAGTAGAATATGAGCTTGACATCGGTAGAGCAAGAAGTATTGAAGTAACAATCGATTTTGTTTGACCCGGATTTGTAACCTGAGCCGGACCGGATACAGCCTAATTCCTCTATATACTTTTACTCCGTAAATCTGTAATATCAGAAAATTTGGATAATCAAATAGGATTTAGGGATTTGAAGGGATTTCAGGGGATCTAGCGATTTGAACATTGATTTTTTCAGTTCTATAGTTAGACCATCGCGAATAAATTATCAACACCACAATAAATTAGGCATCTTTGTAACTAAATTAAGCTCTGGAGGTGAATTAGTTAATAAATTAGGCATTTTTATAATTTTGATTTTTTTTCGTTTCGTTTCGTTTCGTTTCGTGAAAATTTTGATTTTTTTTCGTTTCTTTCGTTTCGCAAAAATAAAAATTATTTTTTCGTTTCGTTTTCGTTTCGTACATTGACGAATTTATTTTTTTTTCGTTTCGTTTCGTTGAGTGCGAAATTTTATTTTCGTGCAGCTCTGATGGGAAGGCATTTCAACGTCAACATTGGAGTCCTTTGTAGGTTTATTTGTAGTTGATTGAGTTGAACGTATATTTGTGTTTTGACTGTATTTAGTGCCCTCATTTTCTTTTTCTTCTTCTTTTCCTCCTCGAAACAGAATACAAATCAGAACGCAAACAAAACTTGTCAAACACCTGAAAATTTAAAATAAATGCCAATTTTATCCGAGAAGACTCACAAAACTACAACTCCACAAATAATCACAAGAATGATCATTTTGGACATTCCTGGAGACTCTGTAGCAGTTGGAATCCTTGTAACTTTTACTTCATCACTAGTAGTGTCTACCTCTTCTGTAGTGATGATTTTTAGAGATTGTGTTGTTGAAACATCCAAAGTTTCGTTGCCATCTGTTGAATTGCCTTTTTCTATCGTAGGAACATCCGGAACAAGAATTCTGAAGTGTTCTTTGTCCTTAAAATATTTTTATTTTATTAGAAAAGAGGAAATTTCCTTACAAATTTAATGCTTATATTGTCACATTTCAACAATGTTGCGTCCTTATCACAGCCTGGTTCTGCTGGATTTTTCTTACAGCCTCCCAAAAGGTTTTGCATACTTTGACGCATCGCTTTTATTGGCATAATGTTGAAAGTGAAGAGATGGGTGAAGTTTTGATTGTTGGTGTAATTATTGTCCACAATCTCCCACTTTTCGGCTTTGAGATGTTTTTCCTCCTTGTAGCACCACGTATTGGAAAAATTAAAAAATTTCCGGTCATCTGCAAATCGGAATTTTTGCCCTTTAATCATAAGGTATATCGGTGATACTTTTTGTGTAGTATATGCAGAATAAAATCTTGGATCACCAACTAAGTTTTAGAATATATAGAAACGTAAATTAGAAAGTGTGCTACCTGGAAGCAATAAGCATCTATATTCTGCTTCATCTGTTAGCAGCCATACAACAGAGTAAAACGCTTTTGTTCTTAAGCAATTACCCCTTTTCTCGCACATTAGCTTATTTCTACAGTCACTGCTATCACCAGATTTAGGACCTTCTTTGAGCTCTTCGAATTCACTTTGATTCAAGCTGTAGGAAAATGATATCCTGAAGAAAATAAATTTTGTTTTTCAATTTTTATGCATATATACATGTTATCAGAATTATGCATGATACATTCGGATAGACTGCCTGAGTGCGAGATTCCAAATTCCAATAAGATTTGCTCTTCATTCTTTGTAACCAAATCAACAGAACAGCCAAACTCAGTCGTGCTGGAATTTTTGGAGTACCAAAGAATGCTGTTAAATGAGGGGATTTAAATAAATTAATGTAAAAATATTTACATATTTCCATCGTTGTCCAAAGTGACATCACAAGCGCCCTCCAGCTTCCTGTATTGTTCAAGATCCGTGTCGTTTTCGGCAATCCTCGTATTGTTCTTGAGCTCAATAATTGTCTCGTTAACCAACACATGCTTGCCAAGCCCGACTTCTTCACATTGAACAACAAATCCGAAAACTAGAAGAATTGAAATGCACAGAATGATGGAGGCAGACAACATTCCAAAAGTGTTTGAATTGCAAATTCGCATCACGACTAAATTGAAGCTGCCGATTCAGAAAAAATAACGTTGAACGATGTAGGAATTGAGAATGATTTGGTAGAATATTCAGCTTTTATATGATTATATAGTCTAATAATAATTGGTACTTTTCTGTTTTGTGACCTCACTTTAAAAATGTTTAAAAAGGGTCATGAATATGGACAAATTATATGTCATTCGAAAGAGCTCCTTGAGCTGAGTCGAATGACACCAAAATCAGCTCGAGATCTTGATTATGAGCTAGATAAAAAGGTTAAAAATGGTCAACGTAAACTTATGGAGCGTCTGCGAGGCGCTTGTGCAAAACGCTCGGCTTCGCGCGGGTTTTCGCGCAATCTTGTTCAATCAGGATGATTTTGGTGTCTTTCAACTCAGCTCGCCGAGCTCTTTCAAATGACATACATCATGGTCATATTCATGATTTTTGACCATTTCGAGCCCGTACCATTTCGAATCCCACATGATTCTGGTGTCATTCGACTCAGCTCGAGGAGCTCTTTCGAATGAAATATAATTTGTCCATATTCATGACCCTTTTTAAACATTTTTAAAGTGTGGTCACAAAACAGAAAAGTACCGAAATTAAAAATTACCAAATTTATTTACATACATAACAGCATAAATGAAATACAACAAATTTTTGCATACATACAGATTATATATCAACAAAAATATACTATCTATCAATTTATATATTATTCTTCCACTTCTATATTAATCTTCATTAACGCTATCAGGAACTTCCACGCCAGATTTTGCATTATGAATAATCGGATCTTCTGCAACAACGAGGTCCTCATGAACAGTATTTGTGCTAATCAAAGTATCAGGAACAGTTACGTCAGATTTTACAGAAAAATCGTTGTCGCGCTTAGCTCCAATGCCTTCCATATCAATAAAAGAATCAGGGACTACAACTCCAGTTTTGGCATTAGAAGGTTCTCCCGGCTCGATTTGTGTATTTTCAACAGTGTCGACATCATTGAAGTCTGGTTTTTCTTCTGTTCGTTCTTCACTTTCTTCTTCAGCGGTAGCAACAGGTGGCACTTCAACGTCAACATTGGAGTCTGATGTTGTAGACATATTTGTAGTTGATTGAGTTGAATGTGGATTACTGTATTGACTTTCTTCTTGTTTACTTTGTCCGTTTTCTTCTTTTTTTCGTCGAGACAAAGTGCAAAACACAACAACAAGAATGCTTACAAAAACCCTGAAAATTTTAAATAAGTAGATTGAATTTTATCAAGAACTCACAAAACTACAATGCCAGAAATAATAAACACAATGGTAGTTGTAGACATTCCTGAAGGCTCGGTAGCGGGCGACGTCTTTGTAAACTTTATACCGTTAGCAGTTGTAGTGTCTAGTAATTCACTTGTAGTGTCCATATTTTGTGTTGTTGAAACAGACAAATTTTTGCTCCCATCTGTTGAAGTGCCATTTTCTGCGACTTGAGCTTCCGGAACAAGAATTCTGAAGTGTTCTTTGTCCTTAAAATATTTTTATTTTATAAGAAAGGAGGAAAGTTCCATACAAATCGAATGCTTATATTGTCACATTTCAACATTGTTGCTTCTTTACTACAGCCTGGATTTGTCACATTTCCATTACAGCCTGCCCAAGTATTCTGTAAACTTTGTCGCATCGCTTTTATTGGCATAATATGGAAAGTGAAGAGATGGGTGAAGTTTTGATTTTTGGTATCCTTGATGTAATTATTGTCCAAAATCTTCCATTCTTTTAGCATGCGATGTTTTTCCTCTTTGTAGCACACAGTTGACTGATTAAGAAGTACATGACCTGAAAGAAATTCCAATTGTTTCCCTCTGATTGAAAGCTTGAATGACGCATCCTCAAATGATGAATTCATCTGAAGTGTACTTGCTTTACTTACAATATCACCAACTGTATTTTAAAAAATATAAAATGCTTTAAAAAATTTTGTCACCGGGCTGCAAGAAGAAAGTAAAGAAAGTTGTGTTTTGTTGAATTTGTTGAAGTAATGCAATTGAGTAAAAAGTTGTTGTTTTCCTGCATTCACCTATGATCTTGCAATATCCCTCATTGCCAGTACTACAATCACTAGTATCACCTGATTTAGGACCATCTTTGAGTTCTTCAAATTCACCTTCTTTCATGCTATAGGAAAACGAGATGCTAAATAAAATAAATTTTTAAATAAAGTTATTTATGTACATGTTATCAGCTGAGACAGATTTTTCTTTGAACATTGCACAGACTGATAGATTGCCAGAGTGTGAGATACCAAATTCCAATAAGATTTGCCCTTCATTCTTTGTAACCAAATCAACAGAACAGCCAAACTCAGTCGTGCTGGAATTTTTGGAGTACGAAAGAATGCTGTTAAATGAGGGGATTTAAATAAATTAATGTAAAAATATTTACATATTTCCATCGTTGTCCAAAGTGACATCACAAGCGCCCTCCAGCTTCCTGTATTGTTCAAGATCCGTGTCGTTTTCGGCAATCCTCGTATTGTTCTTGAGCTCAATAATTGTCTCGTTAACCAACACATGCTTGCCTAGTCCGACTTCTTCACATTGAACAACAAATCCGAAAACCAGAAGAATTGCACTAAACCGCAAGAAAAAAGATGTTGAAGTCATTCCAAGAACTTTTGAATTGATGTTGTCGACTCAGAAGAAAAAAATGTTTTTGATGTTTTGTTGGAATATGATTTTTTATTTTAAATGCTTTTATACTCAGTCCTACCTATTTACTAACAGATAATTTTAAATCTAATTTTCAATTATTAGTCTTTTTTTTAACAAAATAAAATTACGAAGCAAGTGATAACTTGTATGAAAATAGGTAACATTCTCGCTTTTTTTTCGTTTCAATCCAAAATTTTAAAAATCATAATTGAGGTTGAATACATTCTAAATATTTTTAATAGCTTGAATATGATATTAAACGTAGCCAAAGGAATTCTTATAATTTAGTTTAATAATTTAATTTTTAATTTTTTTCTTCTAATTTAGTTAATAATCAAATTTTGTTTTTAATTTTTTGGTTTATTTAAAAATATTGAAAAATGTCTAATTTGTTCTTAAAATTTATTTAATAAAAGCTTCACCCTTCCAAATAGAATTTCCAATTTTCTAGCCCCAAACCTACCCACTAACTCTAAAGTCGATTTAATTAAATTTACCTAATAAATTAAAAATAATAATTAAAACCTCCATTAAATATTTATTATTTTAGTAAACTCAAAAAATATTAGTTCAATTAATTCCACTAAAATTATTTTTATTTTTTTACACTATTACATTAACGGACAATTTTTTCAAACTTTTTACGACAATTTTACAACAATAATTTCTTTCCTTTTTTATTTTAAAAATAATTTAAAAGGAAATAAAAACGTAATTTATTTTTATTAAAATTTCAACAAAAATAATTTTTTATTATAATTGAAAAATATGTTAGCACAACAAGCAGTCTTTATAAGTTTAATTATTATTTTGTTTTTTATTATGATGATAATTGATGAAATTGGAGGTTAAATATTTAATTATCTTTTCATTTCAATTACATATTTTTATAAATTTAAAATTTAACAAAATAAAATTAATTTTAAATATCTTTTATATTTCCTTTAAAAAATGAAGGAACTTTTGCTTACATCTGAATACCGTAAATGGTTGAATAATTACCCTCTTTCAAATGATTGGCCTTTCTATTAATTACACCGTCTAGCGAGAGGTTGAAACAATAATTACCCAGTGTAATTATTCGAACATTTACGGTACATCGAATCTCGTTTTTGAAAAAAATTGTACCGTATGAGGACGATATCTAAAATTAAGAGTATCGTTTAGTTCCTTTTCCTACCCTATGGCCACCAAATTTAAAAAAGTATTTCAAATTGAGGTGTTGAAATTAAAGTTTTAAATATATTCTAAAAATGAGGTCCGACTTTATTTAAATTAATATGGTTGTATTTTTTAATTTTAAAATTATTTTATTAATTAATTTTAATTTAAGCTCCATACTGCAACGACAAAAAAGACTGTGCCCCTCTTGCTATACTTCATGGGGCAAATTGTGTTAAACATCGATGCGCGCCATAAATTGAAAAATATTTTAGTAATATATTAAGTGATAATATTTTAAAATTTTTATATACATTTTGATAAATTAAAAAAATTTTAAGTAAAAAATTTTTATGTATTAACCTTTATGTCAAAAAATGGAAATAAGTGCAAAAGATAATTACTAGGGTTGTCCTTTCTAAAATACAAAAATAAGGCGTAGCCACTCAAAAATAGGGCAAAAATAGGATGAAGTCGACCAAAAATAGGGCATTATTTTAAAACATAGGGCTTGGATCCAAGGAGATAATTTTGAGATTTTGGAAGGCTGTAGAGAAAAATGACATAGAAATTACAAGAAAATATAAAGAAACTACTCACAGAGCTGTCTCTGAATAAAAAATTCAAAAAGACAGAAAAGGGAGACGAACCGAAAAGTTAGTATATCCGAATTAGAAACTGAATGATAATCACTAAACTGCAAAATTTAACCAAATACGGCTGCAACTCAAAAATGTTACAGAATCCAAAAGAAAGCAAAAGACTTGAAAATAAATTAACTACCTATTACCAATTTGTATTTTTAAAACTTTTATTCATTTTTTGCCATTGTGATATTTTTGGAGTGATTTTTGCATTTCTGTGATTGTATTTTAACACAATTATTTTGTTTAAATTTATTTTAATTAAACATAATTAGAATAAATTATTTTAAAATTATTTAAAAATAAAGGGAAGTATGTATATGTATATTAACTGAAAGAAAGCTACATTCAAAGAAAATATTAAAGTGTATTTAATTATCTATAAATTCAAAAAATTCTTCAATCATTTAAGGACACGAGTCGTTATCACATTTTCCACCACAGCATGGCAACGAACTACATGCAACACCTTTAGCAACACATGCGCGACAAGTAGTTTTGTCACAGAAAGCTCCGTAGCAACATCCGGCGTTGTTAAAACATTTATTATTTCGTCCAGCAGGAGTACATTTTCCATTTTTAACACATTTATAAGTATATTTTGCTGTTTGTTTGCAAATAGATCCTTCTCCGCATGGGCTACCATCATGCTCGTCATTATCGCAGCCAATCTGAACACTGAACATAACATATTGGAATAATAATAATGAAAATAAAAAAAGAATATTTATTGAAGACATTTTTTGAATAAATTTAATTTTTAATAATAAACAAAAATATGCTAAAATAAAAAAAATATTTTTAATAAATTAAATATTTGAATAAAAATAAAAATTAAATATAAAAATTATTAAAAAAGTAAAGAACAAAGATTCCTAAAGAATTGAATTTTAATTGAATATATTTAGAGAGCGAGATTTTCAAAAAACCTTGACCTTGATTTCGGTTGGGTACCTTGACCAGATTCTTGACCTTGAGTCAAGGAAAAATCAAGGAACGCTTAAAAATGCCTTGATCTGGACTCTGGATCCAGGAAAAATCAAGGTCTGGATCCAGATCCAGACCGCTCTCTAGATATATTATTAAATATATTTAATGAAGCTTGTTTCGAATTATTTTATATAAAGCTTTTTTTATATTTTTTGAAAGATAAAATAATAAATTTAAATGAAACTTTTCTATTGAAATATTTTTACAAAATTTTTTTATTATCTATTTTACATTTTTTGTGAAACTTTTTTGTTTATTTAATTTTGAAAATAAATATATTTATAAAATTTTTTGTAAATGTTAAAATATTTAATGATTGTTTATATTCAATAAATTTTTTTGACGAATCAGTGGTAAATTAATTGAAGACTATTTAAAAATATTAAAACGCTGAATTTTGTATGGTAAAACAAAATTGAATTTAGTTGTAGTGCCGTTTGAGTTATACGTTTTTAGTATAATAGGGCAGAGAAGGATCCAGCTGGCTAATATTTAGGCGCTTAATAAGCGGGGGTCTGAGATCTATTAAAGGAGAAGGGTTAAAGCAGCGACCCAGTAACTCATCTGTAGAGCACCTTTACGTGGTGAGCGACTGAATTTAGCAATAACTGGCAGGAAGTCGCAAACTTTTACCTCGCTCTATCTGTATATTTAAATTAACTTTTAGTTAAATGCAATAAACTCTATATTTATTTATCTCATTTATATAGATGAACTTTCTTGCAATTTCGTCATTTTTTACACTTTTAAGAATAAATTAATTTATAAAAATATTTTTCTAAAAACTTTTTTTAAATTTTGGAGATTATTTTTGCAGCAAAAATTATTTTATAGAATTTATTTTTGTATATTTATAACATTTCAACATTGGTTATTGAGTAAATTTTATTAGAATAATTTTTTAACTTTATTATTCGAGAGAGACATTTTTTAGATTATAACTACAGCCATGGAAAAACGATAGGAGCAAAGACAGATTTGCATACATAAATATTTTTTTATTTTTTTTTGTTTTATCGATAAAATATTTTCTACAAATCTTTTTTCATTCATTGTATTTTAAAATAAAAAGAAAGCAGAAAATTTTGCCCAAAATTTCAAACCCATCGTTTGTAACTTCATTTTGGTCGAAATTCCGATCTCCTAAATTTTGATAAAATTTTCTATTTCCGATCATTTTTAAAGCATTGTTCTAATGAAAATTTTGCCCAAATTCTCAAAATATTCGTCTGTAACAAAAAAAATAAGATTTCTGGCTTCTTAGCCTCCATAAATGATAAATTAATTTTGCTGTTTTAATTTAGTAAAACAACTAGAATTAAATTAGATATATGTATGTGGATTTGGAGGGATTAAAGGTGGGATTGAGGAGTTGGGAGTGATATACATCAAAAGTGATTTAAGAGGATCAAAAGTGATTAAAGAGGACATAGATTTTCTGATATTATATTTTAGAATAAAATACCTGCAGAAAATTTATTTATCATTAATAGACTTAAGGTTTTTTTAAAACCCAAAATTTTCAATTAAAGCAATTTTATAAAATTCTACGAAAAAACATTAAAAAGAATTTTTTATTTCACAATTTTTATTTATTAGAATTTTAGCAAGCTCCATCCTTAATTTGATTATTCTACCCATTCTTTGTTTGCTTGCTTAAAATTTACCAAAATATTGCATGTGATATTCATTTAAATGTTTAAAGATTATAAATTAATTTACCTAAATGAATTTTAAAATGCAAAATTTAATTTCTTTGCAAAATAAATAAAATACTTAAATTTTTTCAAAAGTTGATGTTTTTTGCTAAAAATAATTTTTGTTTGTAATCTTTGGTTATTATTTTATAAAATTTTATATTTTTAAAATAAAGTTTATCTCTTTGAAGTATACTAAAAGATTTCAGGATACAGTTACAATTGAATTTGAGTTTAATTTATATCAATATTTATTTTTTTATAGTTCAAATAGAACTGCTATTTTAATTAATTCCGAAGAATTAATTTTTATCATTATTTTGGAGTATATTTGTGCGCATTTTGCGATTTTAAATGCATACTATTTTGTCTAGACTAGTTATAAAAGATTATAAATATTTAAAAAGCAGTTGTGATTTTCGAGAAAGGCCCCTAAACAAGACTAGAATAACAAAGCTTATTTTATAAAATAAAATTATTTCAAAATTTAAAGCTCTAGAAAAATTAATTTTTTGTTTTTACTAAAATTTAAAATTCAATATTTTTTTAAAAATAGCAAATAATCATGAGGGTAAACTTTGAGCTTTTCTAAAAATATTTTTAGAAGAGTGATAAACAAAATATTGTAATTTAAAAAATCATTTATTTTAGCAAAATATATACATAAATATGTACACCAACTTTCATAATGGATTTATTTTATTTAAAAAAATTTAAATATTCCCAAAATTCATTAAATTTAATATTTTTTTTATTTTATAAAATTTCTCAAAATTTTTTTTTAAATTTAAATTTAAATTTAAATTTAAAAATAAAATATTTTATCATTTTAAAATTAATTTCTTCTTTGAGCTCGTTTATTGTTTTGTTCTCGTTATGTTTTAGCTAATTTAAAAATAAACTAATAAATTGAAATAGCTTCAAAGCCTTTAAACATTAATTTTAAAAAATAGAATTTGTTTTTTCTTTTTTCCTAAATTTTAGATAACACCAAAAATTATACTAAAAAATCCAAATAAATGTCTTTTTCAATTAAAATTTGTTTTTTATTTTTCTTAACAACTTCAATAATAATTCAATTAATCAACAGCGACTGTAGAAAAACCGGATTTTTAGGTTGTGATGAAGACGAGTATAAATGTTGTGATAGTGATGCTACCTGTACAGCAATTAAAAACACAACAACATGTAAGATTGGTGATTGCAAAGGTGTTGGGGAAGGATGTGGGAATAACAACAAAAATTGTTGTGGAAAATTGCGTTGCGGGGAGAACAAATTATGTGAATGTCCAGATATAGGAAATAATTGTGTTCAAGATTTGCAATGCTGCGGAAATTATTGTATGGATGATATGAAATGTCATTGAATGAATTGATATATTTTTAAAATTTAATTGGATTTATTAGCAAAATATTGCATGTGATATTCATTTAAATTTTTAAAGATTATAAATTAATTTACCTAAACGAATTTTAAAATGCAAAATTTAATTTTTTTGCAAAATAATAAAATATTTAAATTTTCAAAACTTGATGACTTTTTAAGAAAAATAAATTGTTTTTTGTTATTTTTTTTATATTTAAAATTGATAAAATTTTATTTTATATTTTTTAATAAATACAGATTATCTCTATGAAAAATACTAAAAAAATTCATATATTCAGCTATATCCTAGAGATTCAGTTTTAATAAATTTCTGATAAAAATTGGTATTTAATTTACATAAATCATAATTAATTTTTATATTTCAGTTAAAATGGCTATTTCGAATAATTCTGAAGAATTAATTTTTATCATTATTCTGTCATATAAATACATCTAAACAAGTCTAGAATAACAGAGCTTATTTTATTAAATAAAATTATATTTAAAAATTTAAAACACTAGAATAATTAATTTTTAATTCTTGTTTTGCTTTATGTCAATGCCTTTAAACAAAAAATAATAATTTTTAATTTTTTCTAAAATTTGAAATTCAATATTTTTTTAAATTAAAAAAGAAAAATTAGCTCTAGAAAAATTAGCAAATAATCATGGGGGTAAACTTTGGGCTTTTCTAAAAATATTTTAGAAGGGTGATAAACAAAATATTGCGAATTAAAAATTATTTATTTTAGCAAAACAATTTTAATAAATTTTATTTTTTATTACACCAACTTTCATAAAACAAATAAACATTTATGGATTTATTTTATTTTATTTAAAAAAATTTAAATAATAATAAATTCCCAGAATTCATTAAATGAAAAATTTTTTTCTAACATTTCTTAAAATTGTTTTTTTGAAATTTTTTAATCAATAATTTAAAAATTAAATTTATTTTATTTAAGAATAAATTATTCTATTATTATTTTTGAAACAACTTCTATTTTTATTTTCTTTTTTGAATTTTAATAATTTTTACTTTTTAAATTAATCTTTAAAATTAAATATTATAGTAAATCAAAATTTAGAAAAAATAGAGTAATTCCTGATTTAGTTAAGAATAAAGTAGGGTAGCTAGGCTATAGATTTTCTCTAGAAAATTTCGGGTCTGAATCCGGATATCCGAAGATTTCCAACTATCCGAGAATCTTATCAATTAGAACTTATTTGATTAGTCAAGTATAAGTTATCTTGAAAATAAAATAAAGATATTAGAAAATTCTAGACAAAAGATAAAATATATTATGAAAAAATGTTAAATTTTTTAAGTATAATTTTATGTAATTTTTTACCTTAACTAATTTGAACTTGATTGGAAATAAATATTCGTATTTTGTGTTTAGGGATTATATGTATGTACATTTTTGTTGATTATTTTCACAAAAATTTATTCTTTGCTTTTTCTATTTATATTTTATGACAATTTATTTAATTTATTTAAAGCTCTGACAAGAATTATTAAATTTCAGGCCTTTTCCCTCTAATAACTTTATCAAGTAAAATACTCCTGTTAAAAAACGCAAAAATGTAAATTTTGTTGAAATAATCGAAAAAATATTTTTCTATTTTATGTTTTTCATTATAATTTTGTTGGAAAATACATACATATACATATTTCGATTCATAA